ATAATATAATTTTATTGATTTTGTCTCTTATCCATAATTATTTATATAACTAGTTTTCAACATATATTGTTTTAGTAATTCAAATGGGAGATTCACAAGGAAATAATAAAGAAAAAGGAAAAGAGAAAGAAAACTATGAAGCTTGGACCAAGGAGGATTCCGATGAATTGTTACAATTGATAGTGGATGCTATAAAAAGAGGATAGGATATTATGGAGAATTATCATTATTATTTATCTAGACATTATTATTTTTTTTATTATTTTTGTCTTTGACTCTTTTGAAATTTGAATGTATGGATTTTTTTTTAAATCTTATCAAATGTCAAAACTCCACAAAATCCCATAGAATCCATTAAAATCCTGATTTAAAAGTCTTGCATAATCTATTAAAATCCTGATTTTAAATCTTATAGAATCCTGCAAAATCTTAAAAGTCATGAAAATCCTGCAAAGTCTTTTAAAATCTGCAGGATTTTTTTAAACTAAAAAAGTCCTTTAAAATCCTAATCCAATACACCCCCCTTAAATATACTTTTAATTTTTCTTGTAATTATACGATTTTAATTTTTTATAATAATTTTATTTAACAATTTTTAACGTTAATAACTGACATGATGTATTAATATTTTTAATTAATTTTCTTTTAATATATATTTATCTTATTTAATATATTTATATTTTTGTAAAAATAATATATACTGATTTATATTTATGAAATTATCTATTTATCTATTAATATACTAATAATACTATTGATATTAATTTATCAATAATATCATAATATTTATAATATATATATAATTTATTTAGTAATAATAAATATATACTATTTGATACATGAATAAAAATTATAATACATGTAACTTAAATAAGTAAAAAAATGTATAATTTCAAAATATTATATATATATATATATTGTAATTTTAAAATTTTAGATTTTAAATTGGATATACTAAAATTATACAATTATGATACTTAAATGACTAAAATTACTTAATTAAAATATAAGGAGATCAAAATCGCACAATTATTATATTTGAGATATTAAAATTGTTCAATTAAATTTATGTAAAAAAATTGCTTAATTAAATCTTGGGGACCAAAATGATACAATCACAATATTTGAGGGATAAAAATGCAATTAAACTAATTTTGATCAATACCACAAATAATTAAAACTTTAAAATAATTTTATAAAAACCAAAATTAAAAAATGTTGATTTTATAAGGACTAAGATATATTTAATTCTTCCAAAATTAATTTCTACAATAATTTGTTAAATTATTTAATCCAAAGCTACACTAAATTCTTTTATATGAAAATATGTAGCGTAGAAAGAGGAGGATGAAAGGAAAATTGGAATACGGTCAACATGGATAAAGCCATAAAGGAATCAAACATTTTACAAGTGGAACGTTCATGCGGTCCCACGTTAATAACTCACCTGGATGGGCCTTTTAAGGTTCACGATTACTCATATTTAAATTTTGTATTTCTACTTTTTTATTATTAAAGACATAAAATATCAATTACTACATTATTGTGTTAAAATTTACTCCTTCCATTCTTTTTTCATAGTCATTTTGTCAAAATTTGTTATTTTTTTTTTCATTTTTTTCATTGTCATATTACTAAAATTAATGAGTTATTAATTTTTTTCTTCCATTTTTATCTTTGATAATTAATATATGTTTCCTGAACAATGTGTGTATTTATTTTTAATGTTTACCTAATTTATCTCTAACTACTCATATAAAGTTAATGTGCATTTATAAGAGCAATATGTTCCCAACAAAATACTATAAAAAAACAAAAAAAGGACAACTATTTAATGAAGTAGTTCGACAGTCTAAAAAATGCAAAAAAAAGAGAGTAAAATAAGAAAGTAAGTAATAAATATTTTTGAAAACTAAAATATCAATGATTTCCTTAATTCCCGTGGAAAACCTTAAACGACTATGAAAAAAAACGGAGGGAGTATCTTTTGTGGATCCATTTCCCAATCACACACGGACATGATAGATTTGTTTTCTCAATAATTTTACCCATTCTTTATTGTTAAATAAAATTTATAAAAGATTTGTTAAATCATATAGATTTTATTTCTTATTTTTTACATATTCCATTTCTTATTCAGTAAATCTTATATAAAATCCATTTTAAAAATGTTTTGAAACTTTTGTCTGTAACATTATTTATCGGATAAAATAAAAATCGAGTACCAGTAACATATTCTTCTTAACACGTACTGTTACTCTTATCTTTTAAAGTTTATTAAAAAACGTAGAGAGTAGAGTATGTTAGATTATATGTTCCTAACATTTTTTTTATAAAATTAAATAGTACAAACATGGAATGATGAATCATGAACCGAAAAAAATAATTAAAAAGTGAAAAGGATGAAGAAGTTGATTAAAGAGGGAGATAAATTGGTGCGAAGGCATACATGAAGTAATAAATGATGGGCCCACGAAGAAATAAAAGCTGATACAGATAATTTATATGTGAGAGAGGTGAAGCATATGATATAATATAGATTCGTGGATCAATTCTTCATTGAATTTCCTTTGTCTTTGAGAATATAATGTTTATATCAAGTTTTACGTAGCATTAATTTTGTCTTCTGCCGACACTGCGTGTGTCTGCTAAACTAACTAACACTCCGAAAAGGATTGACCGCTAACCTACGTGTCATTCACCATAACACAAAACGTTATATATTTTCAAATTTATCTCTGCCTTTGATTTCTGTTTCACTACCACACTTCAATCTTCGTTGACATGTCAACCAACCTCTGTGAGTAGCCTCTCTTCGTTATTTCAATGTTTCTTGGTTAAGAATTTGCATCAAGATTTCATTTATGCTTTAATAATTTAGATGAGCTGAGTGTGATTGAATGGAATTAATTGCTTGTCAAGAAGTTAGTTCTTTATGAAATTAATCCTCAGAACTTTATTATTATTGTTTAGGCTTCGAAGGATTGGATGAAAGAAGAGAGAGGAAATTGAGTTTTGAGAACAATTTGGAGGATGATAGGTGGACAAGAATTGGCAGTTTGAAAAAGAAAGCACTGAATGCGTCCAGCAAATTCAGACATTCTTTTAAGAAGAAAAGAAGCAGAAAAGGTGCTAGCAGGAGCGATTCCCTCTCCATTGAGGATGTTCGAGATGTTAAAGAGCTTCAAGCAGTGGATGCTTTTCGTCAGGCACTCGTGCTAGATAACTTGCTGCCTCCATTACATGATGACTATCATATGTTATTGAGGTTACAAATGCAAACCTTACCAGTTAGTAGTTACATTTAAGCATGTCCAAGGAAATTCACATGTGGATATGGTTTGTTTACGTTATTGTATAGTGTAAAACTGAATTTGACACATTTCTTGCAGATTCTTGAAAGCAAGGAAGTTTGATATTGAGAAAGCAAAGCACATGTGGGCCAACATGATCCAGTGGAGGAAAGAATATGGTACAGATACAATTATGGAGGTGAGCCATCTGATACAATAATATATGTTTAATTTGATAGTCTGAACATTGATTTATTTATTTTTTTAGAATTTGGGGTTCATGTATGTGTACTACAATATGGTTTCCATTCTATAGGATTTTGAATTCAAGGAGTTGGATGAAGTCTTGAAGTACTACCCGCATGGATATCACGGTGTAGATAAGGAAGGAAGGCCTGTTTATATTGAGAGGCTAGGGAAAGTTGATCCCAACAAGCTTATGCAAGTAACTACCTTGGAAAGGTATTTGAGATACCATGTGCAGGGTTTTGAAAAAGCATTTGCTGTTAAGTTTCCGGCTTGCTCTATAGCTTCTAAGAAACACATAGATTCAAGTACAACCATTTTGGATGTTCAAGGCGTGGTACGTTGTTTGTCTAATTGGCCAATGAAAGTTTTCCAGACACCATTTTAACTTAAAGTTGATCAAATTTTAGATTAGAGTTTATAGTACGTTGTATATCTAATCGTCTTTTGCTTTCTAGGGCTTCAAAAACCTAACCAAGTCTGCACGGGAACTGATCACCCGGCTACAGAAGATTGATGGTGATTACTATCCTGAAGTATGTAGGTTTTAATCGTCATTTTCTTTATGACTCAGAATTTTCTTATTGTTCATGTAGTGCTTCTAAGTTCTAATTTCTAAATGATAATGTGCAGACACTCTGCCAAATGTTTATCATTAATGCTGGTCCTGGTTTTAAGATGCTCTGGAACACGGTGAAATCATTTCTTGATCCCAAAACTACTTCAAAGATTCATGTATGTGTTAATTTTTTGAGTTATTGTTCATGTTTAAGTTTTATAGGATACCATTGAAGTAATTACCTTCTACAGTTTTTGGCTCGGAGATTATCTATTGGTATATGATTAATTGATTCTTGAACGTTCCTTTAGGTTCTTGGAAACAAGTTCCAGAGTAAACTACTTGAGATTATAGATGAGAGGTAACTCTACATTCAATTTTGTTAATGGAGTTATCTGTCAAACAACTTGTTTTATTGTTTGAAAATTCTGACCAACTGTAAGTTCCCAGTGAGCTGCCAGAATTTCTTGGTGGTAGTTGCACTTGTGTAGATCAGGGTGGTTGTATGAGGTCTGATAAAGGGCCATGGCAAGACCCAAGCATTTTAAAGGTTTGCTACTTATCATGTAGTTATTATATATACTGTGTTATTCACTAAATTTTGAATAGTTGCCTCTGGTTTCCAGTTCTACTTTGCATCTTACTGTGTCTGTGACTCAACTAGAACAATTTTGAGCATGCAGATGGTTCTTAGTGGTGAAGTGGGATGTTCTAAACAAATAGTAACGGTTTCTAATGACGAGGGGAGGGTGATTGAATGTGACAAGATATCTTATCCAACGGTACAGTTTTTATTCCCATCTAGAACACAGCAAGATGAGAAGTTTCAGATTTTATAATAAAATTAATCTTATCTTGCTATGGACTTTTGGTTTCTGAGAAAAACAGATAAGAGGTAGTGATACATCTGCAGGAGAATCAGGATCTGAAGTTGAAGACATAGCTTCTCCCAAAGCATGTGGGAACTGTATAAGCCCTGTGTTAACTCCTGTCCTTGAAGAAGTGAGTAACCAGTGACCATGGTATTGATCTTGAGGTTACAAGAAAAAAATGTTGCGATGAATTAAATATAACTCTGCCTTTATGTTTGTCCAGGCAAGATTGGTTGGTAAGGCTAGTCATACTGGCAGTTTAGTTGAGTATGTTCCCATGGTTGACAAGGCTGTTGATTTTGGAAAGAAGGAGAAGCAAGCAACGCCTCGAAAGTTATTTTGTTCAACAGGTTATACAATTTATGCACAATTATTGGTTTTGACATGCCATTATTGTTATTTAAAGCTTGCAGGGGTGGATGTTGACACTTTTTTCTTTGAACTCCACGAACTTAACCAACAATGACATTATCAAAATATCTGTCATAGTTCATTTGTACGTTTACATATGAAAAAAATCTAAAGGAATGAAAAGCTACAATTTCAATTCAATCATTATCCTTTAACAAAATTGTGCTTTATATTTTTTTCTTCACTGATTGGAGTTCATTGAATCTGTACTTACCCATCCCCAGGAAAAAGAAATACATGAATGAATTGAACACTTGCATGTGAAAATAAAACTTTCTTTATGATATAAAGATAAATAAAGTTATATATTGAACTATGAATAATGTTAGAATTGATTGGTGAAAAAAAATCTGCTAAGTAATGAGAAAATGAAAAATCTCCTGATGATAACCACGGCTGTTACAGCGGGCTTCATTTTGGCTCTTTATACCTTTGCTCGTTCAATAGCATTTCGTGTCACCAAGGGAATTCGCCACTCAGAATCTGGTTCTTCCGCAAATATACTTAACATGACCGTTGATTCAATATCCAAGGAGGAATCTCGCCCTCCTTCATCTGCTCCCGGATTCACAAAGACAAACCTTCCCTTATCAACCTTAAAACGCCTTGGTGAGCTTGAAGAGAAAGTTGTGATTCTACAGTCAAAGCCTAATGTGATGCCATATGAAAAAGAGGAGCTGCTGAATGCTGCAGTTTATCGTGTGGATGCATTGGAAGCAGAGTTGATAGCTACAAAGAAGGTATCTATATCATGTACTAATCCTTAGTTTGTCAGTTATGCACTACCCCGGTTACTATAGATCACATAGATAATTCCAATTCTCAACGTCTAACATGTTATTAGTAGACTACTGCCTAGAATTAGGACCCTGATTTACTAATTTATAAACTAGTGTGTTCAACTTCTTAAACAGGCATTATACGAAGCTTTGATAAGACAAGAAGAACTTATGGCATACATAGACAGTGAGGGAAGATGCAAATTCAAGGCAAGTCAATAATATTTTGCGTCTTGTTTAAGTCACAGGCTCGCACACGCACACACACATACTGTTAAAGAGAAAAAGAAAAGGTCAAGTTCTAGTTAACTTCGTGTATGGGAACTCTTAAAAGTTTGTTCAATCTGTTTGTAAAGCAGAGAAAGGTTTGCTGGTGAAGAGAAACTGTACATGGTCGAGTTGAGTTGTTCGGTGGGTATCACACTTCTTCTTCCTCTCTCTCTCTCCACATACGTACGTATATATGAGGAAAATCAATTGACGGGTGTAATAATGTATACAATTACAGTAAACAATTTGTACTGTCTCTGTTTCCATGTATGTTGATGTCAATAACATACTTGAGAAGTAAACCAGAGCCTTCTTCATTTGAGCAGTGTTTTATTTTTATTTTTATTTTTATTTTATTTTTATTTTTAATTTTTTTATATTTTAATTTTTTTTTTTATCTTGTTTGTGTATTCGAAATGAATAATGTTACAGCAAAGTACTACTTGTATACAATTATTTAATATTTATAAATTTTTCATTATCTAATATCAATTAATTCTAGTTTGATTTTTCACATTTAAATTTTGATTTTCCTACTTCAACATTTTCCATTTCGAATAACCTGCTGATTGGTTTGTTTTCTTAAAGCGATATAATGAAATTAACTATTTAAATTCATGAAATACAGAGACGTAAATAACGAATTATGAATTTGCTAGAATAAAATATCTAGATTTCTCATAATAATTATTACTTGCACTTGAACTTTAACAAGACCGAAACGGAGTTACCTTGATGATAAATAACATTTAGATTCTAAATTCATGCTGACACAGACAATTTTATATGGTCAGCACCAGACCCTTTCGAGTTCTAGACGAAACCAGAGAAATCAGATAGATCACCTAATGTCCAGATTCTCTTATTAAGCAAATGTAATTTTCTCAGCATCAAAAAAAGATAATGTAATTTTCTTGAAAGAACTTAAATTTGATACTAAGTGTAAAAAAATTTATCCCCCGAGTTAATTAAAAATTATCTTACAAATTACTTTTAAAATAATTATTACAAAAGTCAATAATTTCCAATTATATGACTATCTATAATTAGAAGACAGCATATAAAAAACCTGTATACTATCAGCGCATTCTAATTAAATTATTCATGAAATCAAGTTAGAATAATAATAAAAGAAAATTTCGTATCAACGAACACAGACATGATTTTGGTTGGCAGAAAGGTTGATAATGGTACAACAGGCACAGCGATTAGAGTGAGTTAATTACGTAGTGGAACAGTCACTAAAAGCATATTCAGAAATCATATACCATACATCGTAGCTCTGGCATGATAGCACCTTTTCCCAGGGAGCGCCTCTACAAAATTCCTGGTGATTTTCTGAGCTTGATGATCCTCACTGCATTGACTTCGCCAATCATTGCCACCATGATATTGGACCCGTTGAGGACAACGGAAGTAATGCCTTTACAAGTTGCTTTTTCCTGCACCTTGAATGGAGCAGTTTTGCTGACGGTAGAGGCCACTGCAATACATAAACCCACAAGCATGTTTTCATGTTCCTCTGTAGAACTGTGGCTGAAAATTAAATGGAGTGGCAGTGCTAATGCTAGTAGGGAACAACGAACTAGACAACCAGTAATAAATGCAAATCAAGTAATGTCCGCACTTATGCCCTCCCAAGCAAACAAAATGCAGAAACCAAACATTACACAATTATTCAGTTCAACCTAGATTCTTGGCTTCAGTAAACAAATTCTCGAGAGTTCACAAATTACAACATGAAGAGAGAAGAAATTACAGCCTGAACCTACGATAATCAGACCAATGCAAAATTGGCATGGAATTGTCAGATCATCATATCAGATTTGATTGGAATGTGCCACCATGCTGGTGAAAGCATGGCCACTTCTGCAAATCTAACCTATAAATGTCCCTTTTGTACTACTCGAACTCAAGAAAATAAGCAAATAAAAGTGTGAGCCTTCGAGACAAAGAGAGGGGAGGGAAAAACCTTGAAACAGCTCATGAGCTCAATGTATGGCATACACAGAGCATCAGTCAAGCCATGGCCCAACTAGGCTGACCAAAGGAAAAACCAGATCTGAGCTGAAGTCACGGCTCTAAAATAGGCTTTTCTTTGCCAAGTTCTGAGTACTGTTTACAGCATTACACTGCAAAGTTAGCAGATAATTATGACCATGAAGTTTGCAAAGCTTAAACAGATATTCTGAGTGTTACTGTAAGATACTTTAATCAAACTAATTCATAACAGCAGGTATTCGAACATCATTGTTTCTTTTCCTAAACATAAATTTGAAACAGAATGAAAATCATGAAAAATTATTTTAATAAGTAACAGCAATCAAAATCTAAGTTGATTATATACTATGCTGTCAGAAATTAATTGGCAAATCTAGAAGTTCTAACAAAACAGGACAACAAACTAATAGAGAATTGTTTCCTGCTTATGTTGGCAATGCTCATTTATCTATATGAAGAAAAAAAAAAAAACTAGAGCTCAAAAATATCTAGAAACAGTTTTCCATTTTTCATGTATTTGATCTAAGTAATGTTTTCAAAATCAATCTGATTATTGAAACGGTCAATGCATTGGGTTTCCAAAATCTGAGAATAGGATGTTGTTATGCATATCTAATACTTGCATGAAGATGATAACTCTTATTAAACATCACCTAGTGTGCATTATTGCACAGCCTACCACTTTCCATTTTGACCCTAAATATGAATACAAGTTAAATTGTTTACCAAAAAAATTTCCAACACATCTATCTTTCAAGTGAAGAAGGTGGAAATCAAGCCTAAGTTCAGTTACAACTTACAACTAGTGTATTTCATCATTTTTCCATGCATTCATATTTCAATAGAAAAGACAAATCAAATTTCAGTCATCATCTAAATTGACCAAATGCATTTATAAATTCAATAGTATTATCCAGTACCTCTCTTGCTCTCTATGTCAATGCAGTAGGCCACACACATAATGACGTTTTAGAGATAACAAAACATTTAGGTTTATCGTAAGTAAATAACTTATAAAAGCTTTCACAAACCAATGCAACATGCCCATCATAAAAAAAAATAAATTAGAACTGCATTGAACAGGTTATATGAAGCACCATATATGTTTCCAACTTAACATTGCACATAAAATCCTTCTAAAGGATGATAGAATAATACTGATGAAATTGCTCATACTTACCAATGCAATCTTCCTCAGGTGTCATCTATAACAGAGCCTACTAAATCTCAGCAGGCAGTTTAAGGTGCTTGCAAGTTTGTGAATTTCTTCCTTGATCCATTTTGATCATTTCTTTGTAGCAGCTCACTATCTTCTTATCTAATTCATAATATTCTTCCATTTTACTCATTCGCTTCAAATCCAAGTCAATAAAGTACACCTAATAGAGATCAAATTTCAGTTAAACTAAGATATAAATGTAACAAGCATTATAGTTATTTTTGTTTTATAAAGATAAAGAGAATTGAACCATCAAAAATGGCAATATCGTACTTTCATATTCATAGCTAAAGGAAATGATAATTCAAACCTTTTTTTTTTTTACATAAATTAAGATATCTATGAAACAACAAGTGATCAACACGTGCACAAGATGTGTGTCAGTCCATACTCCATATACATTAAGACCCCATTTCAAAGGTTTTTGGTTTTATTGCTTCATGAAAGCAAACACCACAAATTTGAGTTCAATAAACAATAATAATAACAATAACGGTGCTTCTTCTAGTGCTTTTTAGTTTTGAGAAGCACCCTAGTTAGAATAGTTATCTTTTATATAGGGCCCAAACAGTAGTGAGAATATTTATAAAAGGTGAAGTGGTTGTGCAGTTTAAGTTGTTGCACATAGGGAATTAGCTTAAATAATATGAAAATTGAGAGGGAAGGTGAGGTGTTCAGATTTGTTAGCATTGAAAACAGAGTAGTAGCTCAGTTGTAAAAGGGGAAATCTTTGGAAGGAGGATTCTCTCCTTTAGCCTTTGTTAAGATTTCAGCAAAGCATTACAGACATGTTCTTTCTCTTTTCTCTTCTTTTTTTCATCATCTCCCTTTAATCTCCATTCTCTTTTTGGGTTTGTAACACCTCTTCTATTTGAAATCTGAATTAATACAATTTTACGATATCTGTACTGTTTTTTTTTTTGTAATTTTACATACATTTTGCTATAAGGATTAGTTTCAATACTACGGAATATCAACTCATTCCAAAGTCAATCAGCAGTGAACGATGAAGTGCCACATAATTAATAAAATAAATAAATGATATATTAAGGATTAAAAAATAAATATAAAAATTTAAAAAGATTTAAATTAATAACAATTAAATAAAAAACTAAAATTAAAAAACCCACATTTTTTCTCACTCTTTCTGCTTACACCTCTCTTTTAATTGTTCCACTGCCATCTCATTCTAATTTTTCCAAATTTCCACTGCCACATGTAGCACGAAACGATATATGATGACACTGTACAACATATACCCCAAAATCTGCTTACTAATTCTTCATTTCATAGAGTCTAACTATTTCGTTGAGTGAATTGTAATCATCAAAGTAGCAAATATCAGTAGCAATATGCTATATAAGGATGCTTTGGTGAAACTATATCATATTAATGCTCCAATTATACTTTTAATACACTTCACTGCAGTGGATCTACTTCATGTTTAATTTCTTGTTATGATGACTGAGTTTCTCTTTGCAACAATTCAAAATAAAATCTTTCAATTTGCTGCTTTTCTTTCAATGGCACTCTTTCTTTGATACAATTTGAGGAGGAAGGCATAGTGAGAACTGAGAACTGAGAAGCCCCGAGTAAGAAAAGAGAGACCAAAAAATTAATACTTTTGTTTTAATTTTAGTTTCTTATTTAACTTTTTTTTAATTTGATCTTTTCAAAATTAATATATTTATTGTTTAGTCCCTAATGTATATTATTTTTTTAATGATGTGCCACTTTGTCATTCACCATTTGTCCATTCTAGAATGAGTCAATGTTCCACTGTACCTAAACTCTTTTTCTTCTTTTACGCACTAAAATAAAATTGTTTTTATTGAAGTGAAATTCATAGAAGATTTTATATTATTTTTATCTAACAAATTCCTGAATGAACTTTAGCAGTAGCTTTTTAAAAGCACCTACAGGACAGAAGCTTTTAAATCAACATCATTCTCATATGAAGCCTAAACCTAACGGCAGAAGCTGAACCAAATGAATCATGCAATGCACTGTCAATCTTAGCAAAATAAATAAATAAACAAATAATAAAAAAAAATGTGAAAGCCTGCCAACCTTGAAGTCAAAGGCTTGCTTAGTTGACTCGAGATATATACTACTGCATTCAGATCTGGAACCCCCCTCTTTCCTTGGTCTAAAACATATCATAAAACTGCAATCTTTTGCTGTTGCTGCTATTAGGTAGTCCTTTACAATTCTCAAGCTTTCATCCAACGAAGCAGAATGCAAAGAGGAATATCTTTTGAGCTGCTCTTCACTCAATTCTCTACATATCATGCACTGTTGACGAGTTATGTCATAATATGCATGGATGGCTCCTTCTATGTCAACATTATCAAGCTTCTGAACCTCTAGGAGCCGATCAAGGACTCCTGATTTTTTCACAGCCTCAGCAACAAGAGTAAGCAAGTTCTCTGTACAGTGACCATCATCAGCTCGAATGACAGACTTAAGTGCATCTTCAAATGCTTTAGCAATACAAAAGTTTGTATCTTCTGCACCACCTCCCAGACCACCAAATATGAGAGAGCCATTCTTAAATACACGGAAGTTGTTTTGTGGTGTAGTGAAGAGATCCTTGATAGCTTTATGAATTCTTTCCTTTGATCCAGAGAACAAATCAAGTGGATTGTATTCACTTAGCAGTGCTATCTGCAAAAATATTGGATAAATCCATCTCAAATTTAAAGGTTAAAAATTATAGTGTATATTTAAGTGAAATTATAATAGCATCAAATGCAAAAAAAAAATAGTACAGGGTACCTCTCCTCGATGCAATTTCAGAGCTTGGTGCATTTGAAAGCGAGTTATCCTCTTTTTGATAGCAGTTCCTTCAGATATGAATCTTGAAAGAGGAAGAAATCCGCATTTGGGCTACTTGTTGAGAAAAACACTTAAAATGTTAACAACGAGCAATAGAGAGGGTAAGGGGGAGCATGTTTCTTTGTTTTTTTTTTTAGGTGCAAAGGGGGAGGAAGTTTGATACTAAATTAAAAAAATTAAAGTTTAAACTAAGTTGTTGTCTAATGGGAAAGGGGGGAAGAAACGTGTAACAAAGAATAATAATGTATGACACTGTGGAGAGCATACCTTTATCTCAACAGATATGCTGGGGCTAGATCCTAGATTACCTGAAATGAAACAGGGAGCTTGCAACAGAACTTTCAAATGTTTTGCAGATATGTTATGAAATTAGGAAGTTAATTGAGTTTACTAAATTAATATTTAAAGGGATAACAACCGAGATTAAAGGGGAATAGAAATTAAGGTTTTCTTGCTGGAAATAATATTAGGCAGCTATATCGAATACTCGAATGATTAGTAGCATGTCAGGTTCCTGTTCCACCCTGAAGTAATTTTTGCCTCACTACCTTACTTCTCTCCCTCTTTGCATTGCAACTACTTATGGTGCATGTCTGGATTCTGACCCAACAGAGGTGAAACAATCCAATCATGCACTGTAGGCAGTAGGTAAGGTTAAATACTGACTGTATCCCACTTCTACAGATACACGATTTCTAAGCATGGTACTATAAAAAGTTCACTGAAAGAAACATAATGTCAATAGCAACATCATATTCCATGATTTTACATGCACATGGGAAAAAAATATTATTTGAACTGGAGAATAAACGGGTTCAATCACTCAAAAAATGCTAATACTTGGTATATTTAGGCCTTGTTTGGGTAATAGCTTTATAAGCACTTACAAGAAAAGAAAAGAAGGTGAAATTAATAGAGGTTCTCCTGTAAGTTAAAATCAACTTATTCAATTGACTTTTACAAAAGCTCTCTAATCTATCTTATTCAAAAGGTAAAATGCATAAATTAGTTTTAACTTATGGGAGAAGCTCAATTTATTTTACCTTCTTATTTTATTCTCCTATAAATATTTATAGAGAAGTTTGTTCAAACAAGTCCTTAGATACGAAAGACTAGAAAAAAGAGAGTAATCAATAGAAGCAAGTCTTAAAAGGCATCTCAATACCATGAGTGAAGAGTGAATGATCAGACATAAGAAGCACAGAATCACGATGCATGTCGACCTGTGCATTATCAACTCTCCAAGCAGGACGTTGACAAATAACATTCTTTTCAACCGATTCAAGAAACTTCATCGACACCCCAACAAGCATCTAAACAAAGTATAAAAGGATAAGTGGAAGTCACAGATCATAATCACTATCAATCTCATATAACATCTTAACCATCACATCACAAAGGTTAGTACATGGATCATTAATTAATTCGCGAACCATCAAAATACCGCCAAGTGGTGCACATTAATCAATAACAAAATCAGTTAAAATAGAATGTTGTGGATACGGATTTGAGTTAACACATACCCCAGCATCAACATATTTGGAACCAAGCAATGGCTTCATAACGTGGAGGACAAATAGTTGGCCTGCAATTTCATTGTCCAAAGATGAAATGAGTTCATGAACGTCCTTCCAGAGCAGGCGTTCGTGCGCAGTCAATGAAGAGGGGCTCCTCATACTAGTGACCTCTGCGCCATTCCTAGGAGCCTTACGAATGCGCATCACTTTCCCAATCTGCAACAATACCACACCATTATTACCACATATTACGCTTTCAAAACAATTGGATTCGATTGAAACAAAGAATTGAGGAACGTACAAAAGTAGGAGATGATCCGGTGTATGCCAGAACAAGATTAGCAGCTCCTTCGCCTCGGTAAACCCACTCACCTGCGTTCTTCTCATTTAAAATCACCTCCATTCAACAAGTTTTGCCTGAAAAAACAAATTGTGATCGGTGGAACATTTCATCGAACATTTACAAGACACTCCAAATCAATCATAAGAAAAATTTAAATACCCAACAACTAGAATGCACCAAAAATATACAAAAGCAAACCCTGGTAGCTACTGTGTTCAGTTCCAGTAATTGCGGCTCAGATCCTTCATCTGTTGTGTTGTGACGACTGACGTGATTAAACTCGAATTTCGTTTTGCTTAAAATTTTTAGTTATTTTACTTGATTATTCATTTAATGATTGTTTATAAAAAAAGAAAAAAAATTCTATGCTTGGGTTTATTGGGCCTTGCTGTAAGGACAAAACACCATGCAATGGGTAATATCCTTCATCTATTTTTTTTCTAATAGAAATTAATGGGTAAATACTCAAATTCTACTAAAGATATGTAAGAAAGAAATAATGTATGTTAATAAAATATTTATATATCATCATTCTTATTGTTTTTATACCTATCTCTCTTGTCTATGCCCCCGATCCACCCAAAAATTGGGTGGACGTTCCTTGCCAATGTTCATAGTGAATAATTTATTTCAATTTCCCGCAGCTAGCTAGTATTCCCGATTAAGAGTTAGACTTACAGATTAAAAAGGAATTGGAATCGGATGAATTGGTTAGGCTCATTCATGGTTGATCATGATTATGAAGCTTACGAAATCGATCATTGGACCGTAGTTGAGTCTATCATGGGAAAGTGGAATTCATGTGTGCCGTAGAAAAAACTAGTAGCTTCATTGATGGTATGCAAGTGTGAATAAGGAATCCTACGTTATATATAATATATTTAGGTATACGTAAGTGTTGAGCAAGATACATAAATATGATGTCTTGCACATGTACGATTAACTCCCGACCCATACTACATTTCTCTCATGAGTTTAGCTCCTTGTATTCTCAACAACCAGTGGAGCATTTTCTCAACACTGTATATCACTGATTAAGGTTTATTATGTGATTTATGTCATGTCTAAATAACATTTGAAGAAAATGCAGTGGTGGTGGTGGTGTTGGATTTTTCCCCCATACCCGTGCGTGGGGTAACATCTCAACTAAAGCCATGATTAGTACTTCCATCAAAACAGAGGACAAATATCGTGGCAAAGCATGAACAACACCGTTAACTAGTTGAATATAATTTTATAAACAAGACCAAGATGATGGTGTCCACTAAGAATAAAAAATATAGTTGGTAATGGTTGTAGATTCTAGACTAGTCGTCAGCAATGGCATCACTGATGAGTAGCCTAGCGAAGTAAATTGGATCGTACGTTAACAATGAATGAATGCATATGAATATGATATGACTTAGGAGTTAGGAGGCACTAGAGATATGCGGCGGGATATATGATAATATAGCATGATTAGACAAGTAATGAAATATCTCTCGGTAATCTTAATAAGAAGGGCTTACGCATTGTTCCACTTGGATTTCAAAGTGGAAGAACCCTCAACGTTTCAAAATGTACTCTAGTACCTGTCGGCCATATCGTAACATTCTTAACCCTACACGTGAGTGTAATAGAGGTTCCCATTATATTTTGGTGTGTATATATGTAGCACAAGAAATCTTGTTTATTCAGCAATATATTTGTCCACCAAAGGAGGAAAGAAGAGGGACCAAAATGCTTTCCCAATTGGTAAAGGAGCATCCTTACATTTGTTGCTATGTTGGTATTATCTTTCTGTTTTTATCATGTCTAAAAGCGTGGACACTTGGGTGCAAAAACAAGTCCTTTGTGGACATTCCTCCGGGAAATAGAGGATTACCCTTTGTAGGAGAGACACTTCAGTTCATGTCTGCCATCAATAGCAGCAAAGGAGTCTATCAATTTGTCCAACATCGCCGCCTCCGGTAACAAATGAGAGTTAATTAGTCTCTGTTTATATAAATTACTTTGGCTTTATTACTATGACGCAGTGTATCTTAGATGGATATAGACGCAATTAATTAATATTGTGTGCAGGTATGGAAAATGCTTCAAGACGAAGTTGTTTGGGGAAACGCACGTATTTATTTCGAGCACGGAGTCAGCAAAAGCGATTCTAAACAACGAGGGAGGGAGGTTCTCAAAGAAGTACATAAAGTCAATTGCGGAGCTTGTTGGGCGTGACAGCTTGCTTTGTGCTGCACACAAGCACCACAAACTCATTCGTGGCACTCTCTTCACTTTGTTCTCTGCCGATTCTCTCTCTTCCTTCGTTAAACTCTTCGACGCACTCGTTCTTCAAGCCACCACTGGCTGGACTTCTGGATCTCTCCTCGTCATTCAAGATGAAACACTCAAGGTATATGTGTCTCTGCACACTGTTATGTTTCCAAATCAATTTGAATTTAGTTAAAACAGAGAGGGATAACGTTTCGCGATGCTAATGCAGCTGGCTTGTAAAGCCATGTGCAAGATGCTCATGAGCATCGAGAGTGGCTACGAATTAGACACGATGCAAAATGAGACTACACGTTTGTGTGAAGCGATGCTAGCGCTGCCTGTGAGGTTACCCTGGACCCGATTCTACAAAGGCCTTCAGGTGAATTAGTATGTACTGATCATGTCAAATCCATTACCTGATGCCTCTTGATTGCAGCATATTAAGAAAAATGTTCACCATTAGATGAAACAATACTTTGAAATGAAAATGCAGGCTCGGAAAAGAATAATGGACATGTTGGACAAGGTTATTAGTGAAAGAAGAAGTGGAATTGCAAGTCGCCGTGTAGATTTTCTTCAACAACTTTTAGATCACGATGGAGTCCCAAGGCTAACAGACAGAGAGATCAAAGATAATATCTTAACTATGATAATTGCAGGTATATAATTAATTAAGCTTTAATTAGCCCCACAATATGATGTGCACTTGCTTTCGCTTTATCAAGTTCGAAATTGCAGGACAGGACACCATAGCAAATGCGATGACATGGATGATCAAATTTGTGGATGAGAATCAGCAAGTTTTTAATACGCTTATGGTCAGTGAATCTTTTCAATTTGGTTGTCTTTACATTATTTCAACACTTACTTGGTATTGAATAAAATGCTATTGTGTGTTCACCAAACAGAAGGAACAACTTCAGATTGAGAAGAATGGAACAAGAAATGCGTACCTTACACTAGAGACCCTCAATGAGATGCCATATGCTTCTAAGGTGTGCGTCATTTGTTGTACTTATTTTCTATGCAATGAGCTTGTGCACTGCATGACTTACTTCTCTTAAATTAATTGCTCATGATAAACTCTTTTCTTTTTCCTTTTAATTTTGTATGTATACTTTTATAATAAAATTGGATGTTGACACTCACAAATAGAGTGCTCATGGACATGGTTAGATTATTTAAATAACCTAAAATAATTATTTAATAATCATATCTATAAGTAATTATTATAATTTAATCACAATCAGTTTTTAATAACCAGTTATGATATAGAATAATTTGTTATATTTTTAAAAACAATTATGTAACCAGTTTTGAAAAAAAAGAGTAAAATAAAATTTATATTTAATATACTTTTACAATAATTTTTATATTTTAACAATTTTTATTCTATAAACTAGTGTAAAATGGTATTTCGTACTTATGTGTATTTTATGTAAAATATAAAAATAAATAAATAATAAAAATAATTAATGTTAAATATGTGTGATTAATTGACAATTTGAGAGTGTGAAGTGAAAAGAAAAAAGAATACAAACTAAATAAAAAAAGTATGAAAGAAAAAATAGTGTTTTAAAAATTAAAGATAAAATGACCAATAGAATGTGTATATAAAAAGACATATCGCCCCTATTAATTATCTAACAAAAAAAGAAACCTTGTACCTTGCTAATATTATAAGATATTGAAATTATTAGAGCGGTCAAAACGGGTCAGTCCAGCCCATGTGGGTCGTTCCATCTTGACTCACTTTAAAAACGAGCTAACCCAACTCATTTACTTTTGATTTTCTAAAAAAAAATTTGGTCTGGCCCAGCCCACCACGGGTTGGTGGGTTATACGGGCTAGCCCACCAACCCACCAAAAATTAAAAAAAAATTATCAATAAAATTCAAAATTTTAAATTAATTATAAATTAACATAATAGTTATAAAATTAGCATCATTAATAGTCATAAGTCATAACTCATCATACAAAATTAAATACAAATCATGATAAAAGTCTAAAATAAAAATTTTCAATATCTCATCATACAAAATTAACTACAAATCATACTTAAATTTTTATTGCAAAAAAAAATTGGTGGGTTGGTGGGCTACCCGGCCCACCACGGGTTCAGCCCGGGTGGGCCGGGTTGAGATATACCCACCTATCATAAAACTTTAATTTTTTTTGCCTGGCCCAACCCGTTTTCAAGGTGAGCCGGGTTGGCCCACGGACCCCAGCCCACTTTGACGGCTCTTGAAATTATAAAACCATTATGCAATAGTTTATATTTAAAAAATAATAATTTTATTAAACTAATAAAGTAAAATTATTAAATTATCTTCCACTAAAAAAAGGAATTATGCAGTGTAATAAATAAAAGATAAAAACATCTTAAATATAAATTAAAATAATTACTTTGAACAAGGACGTTTATAGAAATTATTTTTTAATATAAAATATTTTTAACTATTTTTTTAATAATAACCTTTTTGAGAATTTCATTTTAAGTTCTAATGTTTTAAATTTATTATTTTTATTTTTAAATTAAATTTTAATATTTTTAAATAAATTATCAATAATTAGAATATTTTCCTATAATGAACGGAAAATCTATCTCATATAATTTTTCTATTTGACGATAAAACAAACACACCTTAACTCACAGTAAAAAAAAAAATTCTAATAATAATGGAATATTTATTTAATATTATTTTTAAATAATATGATTTATATATTGAAAAGTATTTATTATACATTTTAACTACATAAATTAAAAGTTTATCGTGCTCATTAATTTTTTATTTTTTGAAAAAATTTAAAATTGGTTTTTGTTATAACTTATGATATATAACCAGTTTATGAAAAGTTAAAACCAGTTTTGTTAAACTAAAATTCGTTATAAAAAATAGTTGTACTTAATAATCGTATGATTAATTTTTATAACTATTTTTTAAATAACTAATTAATTATGATTATAGTTAATTTTTTATAACCGATTATTTTGATCACATCTGCTAACGAACAGGTCGTAAAAGAAGCCTTAAGGATGGCATCCGTGGTACAGTGGTTGCCCAGAGTAGCACTTGAGGACTGTGTGATTGAAGGTTCCCCAAATGCATAAATTTCCTATGCATGCCTAATTACTTTGTGCATATTCAAAGGTAAAATATATTAATTGATAATATAATTACTGATACAGGATATAAAATGAAGAAAGGGTGGAACATTAACATCGATGCTAGATCGATACACCATGATCCAACCGTGTACAGTGATCCGAATGTGTTCAATCCTTCAAGATTTCCTGTAAGTTTACCCAAGGAGGACCTTTTAACAAGAAAAATGAAAATTTAATTATGGGATTTTATTGTTGACAAGATAACAAAATGTGGGAATAAATTACAGGCAGAGTCAAAAGCATACAGCTTCTTAGCTTTTGGGATGGGAGGAAGGACGTGCCTTGGGAAGAACATGGCTAAAGCCATGATGTTGGTGTTTCTGCACCGTTTCATCACCAATTACAAGTGGGTACTGTACTTACTTTCTATCATTAATATTGATCACACACACCTTAATTCAATTCTGGTAGAAGTAATAAAATGGTTTTGCACTCAGGTGGAAGGCAATTGATTCAGACTCAAGTATTCAGAAATGGGCCATTTTTACAAAACTTAAGAGTGGATATCCTGTATGTCTGATATCTACCAAGGATGCCAAAAACAAAACTGTGTGACTACATTTCCAAGCGATTCCAATGAGGACTTATATATATAGTGTCCTGAGATATAGCAATTATTAGTTTATCTTATTATACACATATTTAGCATGTATAAATCTATCCCATAAAATGCATATAACGAATAATTTGCCTAATTTAAGTGTATTTTTCTTATATAGTTTTGAGTATTTATTTTTGTGCATAATACTTTTTATGACTTATATATATTCTCTCATATATAAATTAATTTGGTGTTCATGTATAGATTGGAAAATCGGTACTGACAACATATATTGTGCTCAACCCTTAGGATAAACACCACGATCTTAACAATAACGCTAAAAACTTATTTTCTTCCCTTATAATAATTATTTGTTTTAATTTAGTTCTATTTTTATTTTTTGTCTCAATTTGGTCCCAAATAAATTAATTGATCTCAATTTGATCCTTAATAAATTAATTGGTTTCAATTTGAGACTTCCGTCCAAATTATTTAAACGGAGTTAGAGCAACTCCAATGAGAGTTGCTTGTCCTATGAAGCAACTCAAATCCCGGTTTCTTGCCATTGGAGAACTCTGACGTGGCAACATGAGTTGCTTGAAGAAGAGAGAGAGTTGCTTCCTCAAGCAACCGTTCCTTACCAGATTTTAAGCAGATCTTATTGAACATATTTAGAAACGTTTCGGAAATAATAATGATAAAAATTAATTTCGTATAATATTTATGTATTTATTATTGCTTTATTTTATTTCTAATATATACTTATTGTGTATTTTTTCTCATAATTTATTTTCTTTCATTATAGCGTAATTATCTTTTTTAATAAAAATTTAAATTTAGTTCATAAATGATTAGAAAAAAAATTCTAAAAGTTGAATTTCTTAAAGTTTCTTATCATTGAAGTAAATTTGTGTTTGAGTTGCTTAATGCTGATATGGCACACTAGGGACCACTTTTTTCATTTTTCAATGCATGAAGCAACTCAAATGAGTTGCTTCCATTGGAGATGCCCTTAACTGTGTGGCCACGTGGATGCCACGTAGATGCATAGGTGGATGTCACGTGAATGCCATTTTTTTTAAAACATCTGGAACCAGAACGGCCCGTTCTGGTTGCAATTTTAGTGTGTAAATTTTGCATCCGGAACGGCCCGTTCCAGGTGCAAAATTTACACACTAAAAGTGCAACCAGAACGGGCCGTTATGGTT